CGGAGGTGGAGGAGGCGGGAGAGGCGGCGGAGGCGGCGGTGGCGGCGGTGGCGGCGGCGGCGGCGGTGGTGGTGCGAGTTGCGACTCTACACCGAGGGGTGGCTCTGGTGGTGGTCCGCGCCAGCAGCAGCAGCGGAGCGGTGTGACCATGTCCCCTCAGCAGCTTCGTGAGTGGTACACTGCACACCAGCGAGGTGGGGGTTTTGGTCCCTACTCCTACGTTCTCCGTACCAGCGACCGCACTTGTGAGCAGTGCGGAGGTCCGCACTCCGCCCAGCGCAGCTTTGGTTGCCTGACGGACGCATGGCGTCGCCAGTTCCCTGACGCGTCAGAGATCCCTCGCTGGGGTTGCTATCTTTGATTTTGACTTTGATGCTATTCTTGCTGCCATGTATGTTGTTGCTGATAGTGTTGAGGGTGCCTGTTACCTGTGTGTACTCATGACCCGGGCATTGAGGCTGCTGCACTAGGTGCTGGTGAGACTGCTGCTCTTGGTGCTAGTGCGTCTGCAGCCCCAGGTGCTGGTGAGTCTGCTCTCTCAGGTTCTGCTTCCGCTCAGGCCCTCCACACCTTCACCCTGGACTCGGGTGCGTCCCGCTCCTTCTTTCGAGACTGCACCACTCTTACGCCACTTAGTCGGCCGGTTGCAGTCTCCATGGCAGACCCCTCTGGGGGTCCTGTCCTTGCCAGCTTCTCCACTGTCCTTCCGTGCCGTGCAGCCCCCTCTGGAACCCTGTCTGGTCTTTACCTCCCCTCGTTCTCTACGAACTTGGTGAGTGGAGCGGACCTACAGGATCGAGGGGTTGACCAGTTCACTCCTGCGAGTCAGCGAGTGACCCACTGCACGTGTGCTCGGACAGGTCGACACCTGGCCACGTTCAGCCGTCGGCCAGGGTCGAGCCTGTACACCCTTACTACTGAGTCTCCTCCTACTGCTGAGCCTGCCCAGGTAGCTGCGTCGAGTCAGGTCTTTGCTGCGGCGTCCAGGTCTGGTCCTGAGTCTGCCCCCTGCTCGTGTCGTCTACTGTCCCACCAGACTCTCCTTTGGGACCACCGCCTTGGTCACCCTTCCTTGCCTCGTCTCCGAGGCATGGCCTCCCGTGTCCTTGTCTTTGGTCTTCCTCGGTCTCTCCCTCCCCTTCCTCTGGGGCCTGGCCCTACCTGCGTCCCCTGCGTCGAGGGGCGACAGCGCGCCGCCCCTCACTCCTCCGAGTATCCTCCGACAGAGGCTCTGCTGCAGACTCTCCACATGGACGTGTGGGGCCCAGCCCGCGTCAGTGGGCAGGGACGAGAGCGGTACTTTCTGCTGGTGGTTGACGACTACTCGCGTTACACCACAGTCTTCCCCCTGCGCAGCAAGGGTGACGTCACTGAGGTGTTGATCTACTGGATCCGCGCAGCTCGTCTCCAGCTAAGAGAGAGTTTTGGCTCCGACTTTCCTGTTCTGCGTCTGAACTCGGACAGAGGCGGGGAGTTTTCCTCTGCCCGTCTTGGAGCCTTCTGTCGTGCACAGGGCATCCGCCAGACCTTCACGCTTCCGGCCTCTCCACAGCAAAATGGGATTGCTGAGCGCCGCATTGGCATGGTCATGGACGTCGCTCGTACGTCCATGATGCATGCAGCTGCCCCCCGTTTTCAGTGGCCGTTTGCGGTTCAGTACGCCGCGCATCAGCTCAACCTACCCCACTGCGCCCCTCCCCCCGCCGCCGCTCTTCCTTGCGCCAGGTGTTACTCAGGTAGACCCCCTCCCTCCTTAGGGTCCTGCCCCTTAAGGTGTGTGCCAGGTAGACGCAGTCGAGCCTGTCGAGGTTGCTGTCGACTCTGGTGCTGCTAGAGGTGCTGAGCCTGCGGGTGCCGGGTCTGCGGGTGCTGGGTCTGGGGGTGCTGAGACTGGGGGTGCTGAGACTGGGGGTGCTGAGCTTGGGGTTGCGGAGTCTGGGGGTGCTGAGACTGGGGGTGCTGAGCCTGGGGGTGCTGAGCCTGGGGGTGCTGGGTCTGCTCGTGTGGCCGCCGGTGGTGCTTCGTCGAGGCGGGAGCCGCTCTCTCCACAGGAGCTGCGCGAGTGGTTCGCCCGCCGCTGGAGACGTGCTGCTGAGTCTAAGGGTGCTGCTGGAGCTACTGGACTTGGTCCTACTGGAGCTGCTGTTGGTCCTGGTGCTGCTGGAGGTGGAGCTGCTGGGGGTGTTGGCGCCGGTGTTTCTACTGGTGCTGGTGCGTCTGGAGGTGCTGCTGAGGCAGCTTGTGCTGACGTTTCTACTGGAGTTGGAGCTGCTGGGGGTGTTGGCGCTGGCGGTGCTGCTGGCGCAGGTGCTTCTGAGGGTCCTGGAGTTGGCGCTGTTGGAGCTGGAGATTCTGCTGGCGCAAGTGCTGCCCCTGGGGGTCCTGGTGCCGTCCTTGCTGGTTCTAGGGGCGCTGCGCGGCCGAGGCCGTACTTCGTTCCCCTCCTGGAGCAGGTTCTTGGTCTCCCTCCCTCTACTGGTCCTGCTCCTCCCTTAGAGTGTCCGCAGCCTGTCCAGTCGCAGTCCCAGTTACAGCCCGCCTCCCCGCTACCTGCTCCTTCTCCCTACACTGGTCCTACTGGAGGTCTTGCTGAGCGTCGTGAGCCTGCGTCTCGTCTTGCATCGCCTGTTCGTGCTACTCGCACTAGTGGTCGTACTGCGCGTCCGCGTCCTCCTGCAGTCCCCGGCACACACCAGATGGCACTGCGTCCGTCCACTACTCCTCTGCGTGTCCCTTTGCCTTCTCCTCTAGAGTCCTCTCTTCCTTCGCTTGCTGACCCGGAGTCCGACTCCCTTCGTGCTGCTAGTCCTTCGGTCACGCGCCTTCTTGCTACTGTTGTCAGTGACCCTACCTTTGAGTTTACTGCTGCGTCTGCTCTAGTTGCTGAGCTTGTCGACTTCGCAGCTCGCTGCCGTCTAGACTACGCTGCCAATCTTGTTGCTGCGTCTGAGTCTGTCTGTCCTCCGTCCGTCGAGGGTGAGTGTGCTCTTAGCACGGACGTCCTTGAGGACAGGCAGGAGGAGTTCCAGTGCTTTGCGGCTGCTTTGCCCCATCTCGCGTCCTCGCTGATTGCCCCTGAGGGAGACCCGGATGCACCAGACATCCCGACTCCTCGATCGTACGCTGAAGCGATCTAGGGTCCCTACTCCTCTCAGTGGCAGTCGGCCATGGACATAGAGATGGCTTCCTGGAAGTCCACAGGCACCTACGTCGACAAGGTTCCCCCACCTGGGGCGAACATGGTCAGTGGGATGTGGATCTTCAGGGTGAAGCGGCCGCCGGGCTCTCCGCCTGTCTTCAAGGCGCGTTACGTGGCTCGAGGCTTCAGTCAGCGGCAGGGAGTTGTCTACTTTCAGACCTTCTCTCCCACCCCGAAGATGACCACTCTTCGGGTGCTGCTGCACATAGCCGCTCAGCGCGACTACGAGCTTCACTCTCTTGACTTCAGCACAGCTTTCTTGCAGGGCAGCCTGCACGAGGAGATCTGGCTGCGCCGCCCTCCTGGCTCCACTGGGTTGTTTCCTCGTGGTACCCAGTGGAGCCTCCGGCGGACAGTCTATGGTCGACGTCAGGCACCCCGTGAGTGGCACGACACACTGAGGACTACACTTGCGGCTCTTGGGTTTGCTCCTTCTACAGCCAACCCGTCGCTGTTTCTACGCACCGACACCTCCCTGCCGCCATTCTACATCCTCGTGTGCGTTGACGACTTGATCTTTGCCACTGCTGACACTGCTGGACTCGCTCACGTGAAGTCCGAGGTGCAGAAGAGACACACGTGCATAGACCTGGGGGAACTGCGCAGCTACATTGGCTTGTAGATCACCCGGGACAGAGCACAGCGCACCATTACCCTGACTCAGTCATACATGGTGCAGCAGGTCCTTCAGCGCTTCGGCTTCACGTACTCCTCGCCTCAGGCCACTCCTCTGTCTACTCGCCACTCGCTCTCAGCTCTGCCTTCGGATGAGTCCGTAAAGTCGAGTGGCCCGTACCCAGAACTTGTTGGCTGCCTCATGTACCGGATGACCTGCACACGACCTGACCTTGCATACCCTCTTAGCATCTTGGCACGCTATGTTGCTCCTGGGAGACACAGACCAGAGCACATGGCAGCAGCGAAGAGGGTGTTGCGCTACCTGTGCAGTACGTCGGGCATGGGGCTAGTGCTTGGAGGGCGACGTCGAGTAGTCCTCACAGGTCACGCTGACGCTTCTTGGGCTGACGACCAGGCTACGGAGCGGTCGTCACAGGGTTACACCTTCAGCCTTGGCTCCGGTTATGTTTCGTGGCGGTCTACTCGCTCGTCCTCTGTTCTTGGCTCCAGCTGGCAGGCAGAGATCTACGCAGGGGCCATGGCTGCACAGGAGCTACGCTGGCTCACCTACCTTCTGACCGACCTAGGAGAGCAGCCTCGTTCTCCTCCAAATCTGTACGTAGACAACAAGGCCATGCTGGCCTTGTGTCGAGAGCACAGACTCGAGCACAGAACGAAGCACATTGCTCTCCGCTACTTCTTGTCTCGTGAGCTGCAGCAGCGCGGTCAGCTGCGCCTTGCTTACGTGGCCTCTGAGACCAACACTGCTGATATCTTCACCAAGGCCCTTCCGCCTTGTGATCATCAGCGTTTCTGTACTGTGCTAGGTCTTGTGCCTACCTGGCCTCACTTTCTCACTTCTTGATCTTGTTTGTACTGTATTCTTTCTATACCTGCTCTTGCTTGTGTTACCTTTATATATATGTTCTTGCATGTGAACTGGCTTTCTGGCTCTACTCTTGTGCTCGGACTGTGTGGTGACTTTGTGATCCACCCTGAGCTTGCTTTGCTTTGCTTGACTGGTCTTGTGACCGCTTCTTCTCCCCCACTTTGCCTATGGGGGTGTGTCAGAACATTATAGCTTATAAATTTGTGTAGGCTATAGTGGGGTAGCCTTTAAGGGGTACAACCCAATTAGGGTTAGTACTTGTACCCAACTCTTTCATAGTTCATTTATCCATTCTCACTTCTCGTCACCCGGGTCAGGCGAAAAACACCGGTAACAGTCACCCTCATCACTAATAGTCATAGCATACATGACAGCAAGAATAGCATCAAAGTCAAGGTCAAAGATAGCTACTCCCGCCCTAGACAGCTCACCCCAGCGGGGGATCTTAGTGGCCTCCGGGAACTGGTGACGCCAAGCGTCCGTCACGTGGCCAAAGCAGCGCTGGGTGGGGTGCGCACCCCCACACTGCTCACCCGCGCGGTCCCCGGTACGTAGGACGTAGGTGCACGGACCAGTACCCCAACCCCGCTGACGTGCAGCGTACCACTCACGGAGCTGCTGAGGGGGGGGGATGTCCCGAGTGCGCTGCTGCTGCTGGCGCGAACCACCACCGGAGCCGACCCGCTGCATAGCGCCACCCCGACCAGCTCCACCTCCTCCGCCACCGCCTCCTCCACCGCCGCCACCTCCGCTACCTCCGCTCCCACCGCCACCGCTGCCGCTGCCTCCGCCTCCACTGCCGCCACCACCACCACCACCCCCGCCACCACTCCCACCGCCACCCCCACTCCCTCCGCCGCCTCCACCGCTGCTTCCACCGCCCCCGCTAGCCCCTCCAGCGCCCCTGCCCCCCTTGCCCTTGCCAGGGCGGCGTCTCCTGCGAGGGGTAGACGCCGCACCGACCGACTCAAGCCCAACAAGGTCGGCCGCATCAGCAGAGGCAACAGAGGGCAAAAGGGGGGAGGGGGAACACCCCTCAAAGACGGGGGTGCGAGGGTCACCACGGGAGGCTCGTACAGCGACTATGCTCTTCTCTGCTGCTAGGAGGGCCTTCTCGAGGAGGTCAACGGTGAGAGTGGTGGGGCAAACTGAGAGGAAGTGGTCCCGAACTACGCAAAGAGAGTCAGGGAGCCGGGTGACTATGCAGTAGAGGGTGATGTACATGGGGGGGGGGGGGGGGGGGGTTCTTGGCGCAGAACTCAGCAGGAAGCGCAGCGCGGTAGCGAGTGTCACTAGTGCGGAGGTGCGTAATGAGGTCAGCGACTGTGGGAAAGGCAGCAAGGTCAAGGAAGAGGTACGGTAGCTTGAGGCGGCTCATTGCAGCAGTAGCAGGGGAAGAGTAGCGTGCAACTACACCGTCGTACAAGGTCTGAGCACTCTTGTACTGGCTAAAGTGTGCACGCTCAGTGGTCTATAAGTGGCGGCGCACAACAAGGCGAGCAGCAGCATCGCGCGTGGCCCACTGTGAGCGAGCAGTGGCGTCAACATCAGCAGCAGGGGCAGGAGAGGCACCAGAGGTGAGGTCAAAGAGGGAGAGACCGTCCGCCCTATCGCAGCGTAGGAAAAGCTGCAGGTCATCTACCCACACGTCAAAGTCAATGGCCCGACCCTCAGCGTCCAAAGCGAGGGCACTAGGGGTAGCCATGACAACAGTAGACTAGTAGCGCGAACAGTGGGGTAAGGGGAGTGCAGTGGTAGAGGCGCTGCTCTTAACGGACAGGGGCAGCTTGGCGGCTCGACGGCTCGGCGGCTCGGCAGGAACTGCAGCTCAGGCGGCTCGGCGACTCGGCGGCTCGGGCAGCTCGGGCGGCTCGACGACTCGGCGGCTCGAGCGGCTCGGGCGGCTCGGCGGTACGGCGGCTCGGCGGCAACTGCAGCTCGGCGTGCAGCGCCCCGGCGGCTCGGACGGCTCAGGTGGTGCGGCGGCTCGGGCGGCTCGGGTGGCGCTAGTGGCTCAGTGGTGACGGCGGGGCCGCGTGACGGCGGGGCCGGGGCCGGGAAGGGCGGCTCGGGGCCGCAGGGGTAGGCGACGGGGCGAGCAGAGGCTGGGCCGGGGTCGGGAAGGGCAGTGTCGGGGCCGAGAAGGGCGGCTCAGGGCCGCGAAGGGCGGCGCCGGGGCCGCGGGGTAGGCGACGGGGCCGCAGGGCGGCGGATCAGGGCCAAGAAGGGCGGTGCCGGGGCCGCGGGTCTACGCGACGGGGCCCGCAGAGGCCAGGCCGGGTCGGGAAAGGTGGCGCCAAGGCCGGGAAGGGGAGCGCCGGGGCCGCAGGTAAGCGACGGGGCAAGCAAGGGCAGGGCCGCAGGTAGGCGACGGGGCCGCAAGTAGGCAACGGGGCCGGGGCCGCAGGTAGGCGACGGGGCCGGGGTTGCAGGTAGGGGACGGGGCCGGGGCCGCAGGTAGGCGATGGGGCCGGGGCCGCAGGTAGGCGACGGGGCCGGCGCCGCAGGTAGGTGACGGGGCCGACAAGGGCGGGGCCGGGTCGGGAAAGGCGGCGTCAGGGCCGCTGGGTAAGCGACGGGGCCGCTAGGGCGGCGGAATAGGGCTGGCAAGGGCGGCGCGACATAGGGTCGAGAAAGGGAGCGCGACTCGGGCAAGGGCTGAGCGCGCTTCGGGCAGGAAAAAAAAAAATCAAATCGGTGGGCCCTAGGAACAGTTCCCACGAGGGAACCTGCTCGATACCATGAGAAGACTGAAACGAGAATGAATGTGACTAAATGAAAGTTGGGTACAAAATGCAAACCCTAGAAAGCTGTACTCCATATGTGCTACCCCACTATAGCCTACAATAGCTATGTCATATAAATCTGACAGGGTGATGTAAGGAGGGAGAATGGGGCGAGGCGATGGAAAACGGGAGAATTAAGTGGGGTGATGGAAAGCGGTCTGGAGCATGCCTGGTCCAAGAGCATGCCTGGTCTAGGAGCTTCCCTTGTCCAGTAGCTTGCCTCGTCCAGGAGCGTGCGAGGTTCAGAAGCTTGACTGGTCCAGGAGCGTGCGAGGTTGAGAAGCTTGCCTGGTCCAGGAGCTTGACTGGTCCAAGAGCTTGCCTGGTCCATGAGCTTGCCTGGTCCACTAGTTTGCTTGGTCCAGGAGCATGCGTGGTCCAGGAGCTTGCCTGGTCCAGGAGCTTGCCTGGTCCAGGAGCTTGCCTCGTTGAGGAGCTGGCCTAGTCCAGGAGTGTGCCTGGTCAAGGAGCATGCCAGGTCCAAGAGCTTGCGTGGTCCAGGAGCTTGCATAGTCCAGGAGCTTGCCTGGTCCAGGAGCTTGCCTGGTCCAAGAGCTTGCCTGGTAGAAGAGCTTGCCTGGTTTAGGAGCTTGCGTGGTCCAAGAGCTTGCAAGGTCCAGGAGCTTGCCTGCAGGAGCTTGCTGGTCCAGGAACTTGCCAAGTTCAGCAACTTGCCTGGTCCTGGGGCTGACCTAGTCCAGGAGCTTGCCTCGTCCTGGAGCTTGCCTGGTCCAAGAGCTTGCCTGTTCCAGGACCTTGCCTGGTCAAGGAGCTTGCTGGTCCAGGATCTTGTCTCGTCCAGGAGCGTGCCTAGCTAGGAGCTTGCATGGTCCAGGAGATTGCCTGGTCTAGGAGCTTACGTGGTCGAAGAGCATGCCTGGTCCAAGAGCTTGCCTGGTCCAGGAGCTTCCTTGGTCCAAGAGCTTGCATGGTCCAAGAGCTTGCCAGGTCCAGGAGCTTGCTTGGTCCAGGAGCTTGCTTGGTCTAGGAGCTTGCCTGGTCCAGCACCTTGCCTAGTCCAGGAGCGTGCAAGGTTCAGAAGCTTGCCTGGTCGAGGAGCTTGTATGGTCGAAAAGCTTGCCTGGTCCACGAGCTTGCCTGGTCCATGAGCTTGCCTGGTCAAGGAGCTTGCCTGGTCCAGGAGCTTGCTTGGTCGAGGAGATGGCCTGGTCTAGGAGCGTGCCTGGTCAAGGAGCTTGCGTGGTCCAGGAGCTTCCCTGGTCCAGAAGCTTGCCTAGTCCAAGATCTTGCGTGGTCCAGGAGCTTTCCCGGTCCAAGAGCTTGCCTGGTCAAAGAGCTTGCCTGCTTTACAAGAATCCCTTGTCCAAGAGCTTGCCTCGTCTAGGAGCTTGCCTCGTCAAGGAGCTTGCCTGCTCGTGAAGCTGGCCTGGTCTAGGATCGTGCCTGGTCCAGGAGTGTGCCTGGTCTAGGAGCGTGCCTAGTCCAGGGGCTCGCCCGGTCCAGGAGCTTGCCTGGTCCAAGAGCTTGCCTCGTCAAGGATCTTGCCTGGTCCTGAAGCTGGCCTGGTCCAGGAGCGTGCCTGATCCAGGAGTGAGCCTGGTCCAAGAGCGTGCCTAGTCCAAAGGCTTGCCTCGTCCAGGGGCTTGCCTGGTCCAGGAGCGTGCCTTGTCCAGGAGCTTGTCTGGTCCAGGAGCTTGCCTGGTCAAGGAGCTTGCCTGGTCCAGGAGCGTGCCTGGTCCATGAGCTTGCCTGGTCCTGGAGCTTGCCTTGTCTACGAGCTTGCTTGGTCAAGGAGCCTGCTTGGTCCAGGAGCTTGCCTCGTCCAAGAGCTTGCCTGGTCCAGGAGCTTGCCTCGTCCAGGAGCTTGCCTGGTCCACGAGCTTGCTTGGTCCAGGAGCTTGCCTGGTCGAAGAGCTTGCCTGGTCCAGGAGCTTGCTTGGTCCAGGAGCTTTCCTTGTCCATGAGCTTGCCTGGTCCAGGAGTTTCCTGGTCCACAGCTTGCCTGGTCCAGGATCTTGCCTGGTCTAGGATCTTGTCTGGTCCAAGAGCGTGCCTTGTCTAGGAGATTGCCTCGTCAAGGAGCTTGCCTGGTCCAGGATCTAACCTGGTCCAGGGGCTCGCCTGGTCCAGGAGCTTGCGTGGTCCAAGAGCTTGCAAAGTCCAAGAGCTTGCCTGGTCCAGGAGCATGCCTGGTCCAAGAGCTTGCATTGTCGAGGAGCTTGCCTGGTCCAGGAGCTTGCCCAGTTGAAGAGGTTGCCTGGTCCAGGAACTTGCCTAGTCCAGGAGCTTTTCTGGTTCATGAGCTTTTCTGGTCCACGAGCTTGCCTGGTCCAGGAGCTTGCCTAGTCCAGGAGCTTGCCTTGTCCAGGATTTTGCCTAGTCCAGGATCTTGTCTAGTCCAAGAGCGTGCTTGGTCCAGGAGCTTGCCTGGCCCAGGAGCTTGCCTGGTACAAGAGCTTGCCAGTTCCAAGAGCTTGCCTGGTCAAAGAGCATGCCTCGTGCAAGAGCTTGCCTAGTCCAAGAGCTTGCCTGGTCCAAGAGCTTGCCTGGTCCAAGAGCTTGCCTGGTCCAAGAGCTTGCCTGGTCCAGGAGCTTGCTTGGTCCAAGAGCTTGCCTGGTCCAGGAGCTTGCCTAGTCCAGGAGCTTGCTTGGTCCAGGAGCTTGCCTCGTCCAAGAGCTTGCGTGGTCCAACAGCTTGCCTAGTCCAGGAGCGTGCAAGGTTCAGGCAAGCTCATGGACTATCCAAGCTCCTGGACCAAGCAACCTCTTGGACGAGGCAAGCTCCTTGAACAGGCACGCTCCGGGCCGAGGCAAGCTCCTTGAACAGGCAATCTCCTGGACCAGCCAAGCTCCTGGAATAGGCGAGCTTCTGGACCAGGCAAGCTCCTGGACCAGGCAAGCTCCTGGACCAGGCAAGCTCCTAGAACTGGCAAACTCATGGACTAGGCTCGTTCATGGACCATGCAAGCTCCTAGACCAGGCAAGCTCCTGGACCTCGCAAGCTCCTGGACTAGGAAAGCTTGTGGACGAGGCAAGCTCCTGGACCAGGCAAGCTTCTGGACCAGGCAAGATTCTAGACCAAGCACGCTCCTGGACCAGGCAAACTCATGGACCAGGCACGCTCCTGGACATGCAAGCTCCTGGTCGAGGCAAGCTTCTGGACCAGGCAAGCTCCTGGACCAAGCAAGCTCCTAGACTAGGCAAGCTTCTGGACTAGGCAAGCTCCTGGACTAGGCAAGCCCCTAGAAAAGGCAAGCTCCTAGAGCAGCCAAGCTCCTGGACAAAACAAGCTTCTTGACCAAGCACGTTAATGGACCAGGCACGCTCCTGGACCATGGAAGCTCATGGACCAGGCACGCCTCTGGACCAGGCAAGCTCTTGGACCAGGCAAACTCCTGGACAAGGAAAGCTCCTGAACCACGCAAGCTCCTAGATCAGAACAAGCTTCTGGACCAAGCAAGCTCCTGGACAGGCAAGCTCCTGGACTAGGTAAGCTCTTTGACCAATCAAGCTCCTTGACGAGGCAAGCTCCCGGACGAGGCAAGCTCCTGGACCAGGAAAGTTCCTGGACCAGGCAAGCTTCTGGACTAGGCAAGCTTCTGGACCAGGCATGTTCCTGGACCAAGCAAGCTCCTTGAGTAGGCAAGCTCCTGGACCAAGCATGCTCCTGGACAACGCAAGCACCTGGACCATGCAAGCTCTTGGACCAGGCAAGCTCCTCGAACAGGCAAGTTCTTGGACCAGGCAAGCTCCTTGAACAGGCAATCTCCTGGACCAGCCAAGATCCTGGACCAGGCAAGCTTTTGGACCAGGCACACTCTTGGACCAGTCACGCTATTGGACCAGGCAAACTCATAGACCAGGCACATTCCTGGACCATGCAAGCTCCTAGACCAGGACAACTCCTGGACTTGGCAAGCTCCTGGACCAGGCAAGCTCCTAGACCAGGCAAGCTTGT